GAGGAGGAAGAGGGGGAGGGGGAGGGGAAGGAGGAGGAGAGAGAAGGAGGAGGAGGGAGAAGGAAGAGAAAAAGAAGGAGGAGGAGAAGAAAAGAGAAGGAGGGAAAGGAGGAGGAGGGAAGAGGAGGGAAGAGGAGGAGGAGGGAGGGGAAGGAGGAAGAGGGAGGAGGAAGAAAAGGAGAAGGAAGAGGAGGAGAAGGAGAAGGGGGAGAAGGAGGAAGAAGAAGAGGGAGAAGGGAAGAGGGAGGAAAAGAAGGAGGAGAAGGAAGAGGAAGAGAAGGAGGAGGAGGAAGAGGAGGAGGAAGAACAGCAGCACAATAACTATCATCCCTGAAACAAACAAAACTATCTGATGTGTTAATCTAGAAACAAACCCAAAAGCTCTGTGTCACTGAGACACAACCAACCAGAGGGTGGGAAAGCCAGAGTCACCCACAGCTTGCTTCTTTTCTCCTAAATGCCATGTGCTTAACATAATTCTTCAACCAGAAAATTTCATTCATATGACTGCATATTGTATCTTTACTAGCATGCCTTCTTTGTTGCAGTAATTTATGCTTGTTGGGAATCATAACATATCAGCAGAAAAAAGCTTTATTTTCTACCACCATCTTATGAAAGGATAAGCAACAGAAATCAAAATTTATGATAGATTCTTCAAACTTTCTTGTTTATATGTTAGACAAAGTCCTTAAATCTCTTTTTTAAACCTCTGGAAATAAGAAACAATATTCATAAGAAACCTATTACTTTAAACTGATATTTAAATATTTTTTTCGTATATTTAATAGACTGGAATTAAAAGAAAATAGACGGACCAGTTTAACCCATTGAAAGTGAAGATGGCAAGGCAGCCAGTAAGAAGACATCCCAAGCACATTACAGCAATCACTGCTTCAACAGTCGGCAGCATCTGGTTCAAAGCCATCCCTAAAGTGAGAGTCCCAGATTCTAACAGAACAATGTTCCAGGACAATACACCCACTATTGTTTACTACAATTCAAGCATGAGACTTTTGTTTGATTTTCTTTAAGGCCCCAGAGGTTTAACAGAAAGCAAACTTCATGGGTCCTTAACATTCTCTAAAACAATACTTTTTTTTTAAGCCAATGCTTTTTAAGACCAAAGTCCAATCTATAATGTTCCATTGAATTAGTTCAAAGATCTAGTGTGATAGCTGATAAAACTATGAAAGTCATTTTGTAAAACTAAAGACAAAGGCTGCAATAAATTTATTTGTCTTAAAGCATCTATTCTGCACAAGAGGCTGCAATGTTTTTTCACATTGAGTTGATCAGGATGCCATAATGTCACCAAAATACTGACATTGGAAACATGTGAGTTACAAAGGTCCAAAGACAATCTGCTTTTCTCAGGAAACACAACACCCTGCCTTACTAACACTTTCAGCATGGCACATACAAAACATAGCACCCTGCAGTTAAGCAAACCGCCTTTAAATTTTCTGTCTGGCAGCAATCCACATGCATGTCTGCATGTTTTTACAAGTACTCTATGTATTTCATTGCGTCAGCTGCATTTCTTTGAGTTTTAAATGGTCTGGAAACATTTTATGAAATGTTCTATATATTTATATGGAAAATAATGCACACTGGAAAACAGCATCAGTCTAATATTTACATATCCATTTTTTATTCACCATCTAGTGCTGTAATTTTCTAATGTCCCAAAACTTACCTTTTCACGCAGAAACACAGCACCAAATGTAGTGTCACAAACCAGCTAACTCTTAATGAGAAAATCTTCAGATGGATCAGAGTACCACCACGGAAGAGCACCAGCCAACAAGTACTGATGCAAGTGCCCGTAAGAACAGTCAGAAGTACATGCCTTTTCCCTGAAAACTGTCTCTCAGACAGGAAATTAAGTACATAACAACATACACTTTTCTTGAACCTCCTGTCTTGGCAGCTTTCTTCTGATTCAAATTTAAAAATCAATTATATTATCTCCCAGGTAAACACTTTTCTTCTGTTGTTCTGAGACAGGGTTCCTGGCTGTCTCGAAACTTAGAATGCAGACCAGGCTGGCCTCAAAATCATATAGATCCTCCTGTCTCTGTCTTCTGAATGCTAGGATTAAAGGTGCACCATACCCAGCAGGAAAACACTTTTCAATTAATTTTTTTTTTACTTCTGTATTTAAAATACCTTGTCAACAATATAGATC